GGAAAGAAGAGGCGGGGGGGGGGAGGGAGGAGGATAGTGGAAAGGCAAAGAACTGGGGAAAAAGTCCAAGATCGAAGCGGAGCCTCTTGGTCGATGCGAGGAGAGAGACGTTTTCTATAATTAAAAGTGTCGATTTCGTCGTCATTAAAAATGCTTGAGCGTCCCGTTACAAAAGGCAGTTCTGTCGTCTGGAGAGATGGAGAGGACCGTGAGAGATAGAATGCTTTCGTCTAAGATGAATACATGAAGGCAGCGAATAGAGATGGTGGACTTGTGGATCGGAAATTGATGAATCTCGCTTCGATACCTCCCGACATCTATCGTCAATAGATGCGAGACCGCGAAATCTCTTCTACTGGTTTCAATAAAACGGCATTTCTAGTTTATTCCATAGTCTGTTTTGGGAGAACGATAAAAAGAATAGGAAAATCGTGATGTAGAAATTCGGAGAGGAAGAAAGGTTGGTGGAAGATCGTCAAACGATCTTCTATTTAGAAATAAACAGTTCCAGCTGATGGTTTGCAACGCTTTTCTTTCTAATATTTTCTTAAAGAAGACATGATATTGAAAAAGAAAAGAATAAGTAATAAATCAGAAAAATAAAGATAAATAACGAAGGAAAAATACATGTATATGCGGTATAAAAAGAAATGATTAAAATGTAAAATAAAATGATTCAAATATAAGTAGAATAATATGAGAATAATATGTGAAGAAATACGTAAAGGATAGACGTGTATAAACACGAATACTGGAATAGCATGTTGTTATTCGAAAATTTCAGGCCGTAAAGCTCTGAAGCTTTCTTTTTCTGAAATATGCACGGAATTAATTAATGTATACATATATATGTTTAAAATTATTCGTTACATACACACATAATGATTATAGATCGCAAAGTTCAGATAAAACGTAATTTTACACCATGAGCTTTTACACCATTTGAAAGTTTTTTTTTCATTTTTAATGTCATATTTACAGAAGCTTTTCATCTTTATTTCAGTTCTCTAATTATCACCTTGAAGAAATAATGGGACACAAGATTCGCGTGTGTATGAATTCGTATAAAAAAATTTCAAAAAACACAAATAAATTTCAGTCGGGAGAAAAATATCCTAGTTCCCAGTCCGGATTACCGTCGAAGCGGTTATTCACGAAATCGTGAATCTTCATTCACGATGGCTCGACAAAATATCAGCGAGGCTCGCGCGCTCAGAACCACGAGAAAGACGAAATTTCATAATGCGCCTCGTAATTCATAATTTTCACGGGAATGTAATATTAAAGCGCTCTCGCGATCGCGTTTTTAATACACGCAAATTCATCCTTTACCTTTTTCTCTTAATTTTAGAATCTCAGCAATGGGGAAAATTAGAAGAATCGAAATCGAGGGAAATCGTTTCCGAGGATAACCAGACGTTCAATCGAAATGCAATTCGTCTCTATTTGGTTCCAGCTCGTCAACCGAAACGACTTTTTTCCACTAGCCCCTTGGCATTAGAGGCAAGTCGGCTAACTCTCTTTCTCTTTTATTCCTGCAATTTTTCCTAGTCGTGAAATTGCAACGAACCGGTAATCCTCTTTCTTTTTCTCTCTTTCTCTCTCTCTCTCTCCTTCCTCCTTCTTGTACATCCATCTCCCCCTCTCGCTCGCTCTGTCCAGGCCACGCTACGTCCTTATACCACGCTTGTACCGCTTGCTCGAATTCCCTTTGACGTAAATTCCGTGCATTACCGACGCTGACGAGCGAGAGACGCTAACTTCATTGTTGTTTCAAAGGCCCTCCTCTGACTGGTTTCCTCCGCGTCTCTCGCCAACGGCGAGTGTTCCTCTTTCATGCATCACTCCTCATCCATATGGTGGGAGGTCCAAATATAGGGCAAACGGCCGAGAGAAAGAGAGAGAGAAAGGTGGCCTCGTGGTAGCTAGTAGGGAAGGGGAAAAGAGATGACTAGGGATACAGTGGCGATAGTTGGCAAGCATGGTGAAATAACGCGGAGAAGGGGGCAGGAGAAGAGTTAAAGCGGCGTAAAAGAAGCCTTCTTCACTTCAAAGAGGCAACGGGCCACGTGGTCTTCGTGACGTGCTCTTCTCACTTGATAATCGAGTAATGTGATCGAACGATACACGTGTTGTTTTTCATTTCATTTTTTTTCACGTTTACGTCGATGGTCGAACGGTGTTTTCGATTAAAGATATTTTGAATATTGAATCAATAGATATCGTTCGGGTAAAATTATTATTTCGAGGGCAATAGAACTCGATTTCCGGTGATCGATGAACAGAGCTGTCGCGATAATGGAGGAACGTGGTTACTTTGTGTTGGGTAAATCATTATTACAGCAGATGTGTATTTAATACTAGGTTTACTAGGGCGCGTCATTTTGACGCATTTCAAATTTCACTTGGAAAATTATAGAAACCGTTCACGTTTCTCTCCTATCATTTATGCTGATTTTTATCCAATTAACGAGACAAATATATATCCGAATTCATTTTCTTTTAAAATCTTCTTCTTCTCGAAAATCTTTATGTGGTATATCTAAAGAAGCTCTAAGAATAAGCATTATTCTTTTTTTTTAACGCTTGTAAAAATAGGTATATAAGAAATGTCTAATCTGAATGTAAATCTAGTATTAATGATGCAGTATATGCTAGAAATTACACGGAATTCGTTGACAATAATTGTTTATCACGTGCTTTCAATTTTATGCTTCGTCGAATTTTGCTTTTCATTTTGCACAAATACATATAAATGCGTACAAAGTCAATCGCAAAAGTCTTCGTTTAAAGTTTTCTTATTTAACGAATAACAATTTTAATAAAACATTAAAAAAGAGAGATATAATTTTGATAATGAAACTAATTTTTAATATTCTATCGTTCTGTTCTGATTTTATTCAAAAATTTTGATACTGATTGATTTCAAGGAGATTTACTATCATTGTTTCATAATTATTGTCTTCTTTATATTATGTTCTTAATAATTAGAATTAAATAAATTTTCTTATAAAATAATATACGATGATTTTTGATTATATAAATTGTATAATGAAGGTAAATTGATTAATATGTGTAACACAGATGTATATTAAAAACTTGGATATTACTGAAAAATTATTTACATTGATTCTACAAGTTAGTAATTAAAGTCGATTCAAATTTGGAAAAGTTTTGGAAAAGTTTTAGTTGAATTCCTGGATATCGTATGAATAAATATTAACTTATTTTTTTCATTGAACTTGAAATATTTAAGATAAGTAAATAATTAAGTACATTAATTGGATAACAAGAAATCTTAAAGATCGATTTCTTAATTAATTTCAACTCATTTCAAATACTTAATAAGCTTGAGTAATGATTAATTAAAGTTAATTAACAGTTAAGAGTTTGTAGAGTTTGAAATTATTCGATGTAACAACATTTGATTAATATTTTCAATTATTTATGTATCGGTTGAAAACGATTAAGCTTAAATAATTTATTTAAATTTTAAAATAAAAACTAATGAAAATCAGATTATTAATTTGTTAAACAAACTGGTTAAAAATTAATATTTTAATTATTCTTGAGAATGAAAAATCGTATTTGTTTAACTTAAATTTGCAATAAAAATGTAATAGAATTATGAACCTTAAACATCATATAATTCCATTTATAAATTTTTTTCCGCGTGATAAACGAAAAAAATTTCTGTCTATTTCGATGAATTTTCACGGAAGTTATAAAGTTTCGAAATGTAGAAAATGAATCTTTGAGGATGACCCAATTTGCTTCGTACACGACGAAGGTGGATGGTTTTACGAAAAGTGATTTTATACGTATGCATAGATCTATTGAAAACCCTCTCATCTGCAATTCTGATCGAAACTGTACCGCAACTTTCCATGTAATTTTCCTTTGTGCAGTTCAAGTCGAAATGAAGTCGAGTATGTGGAATTTAGTAATTGAGATCGAGCGAATCGAATCGAATGGAAATATCGTGTCTGTGCGCGCTCTTGTGCATTTACGCGGTTTCGCGCACGGAAATCATGCAGAGAGCAATCAACTCTCGAATTACTTTTTATTCAAATATCATTTACTATACACATTTCAAAGATATGTTGGAAGCGTTGAAAATGAAAGGAAAATAATTTATTAGAAAATTAATAATATAAAATAATAAGAAAAAAATTGAGCGTGAAATCAAGAGATCAAAAAATTGTCAATCAATTTTTATAATTAAACTGCAAATTTTTATGTAAATATATATTTGTATTTTGCAAGTTTGGAATAAATATACAAAGTGTTTGGTTTTTTTTATAAATTGAAGAAGGGATAATTTTTCATGCTAAAAGAAAACGAAAATGAACAATAAAAAAATTTTTTAGCTTTGTTTTTTAATTATTAACAATTAGAAATCAAGATTATGCATGAATAAAATTTTGTTGTATACAAATAAATGTAAAATAGTTTGAGAAATGATCTACAAATCGAACATACAACAATATAGACAGCATACAAATTGCAAAAAAAAAATTACGATGATATTTAACACTGCGATTTGAAGATCGATTTTTACGGAATTTAAATTCTTTGATTAATTATATTATAAACGTGAATCAGATCAATTAAATAATGATTGAATGTATTAAAAATAAAAGTTCAAAATAAAATCTTCAAGATATCATTTTGAAATCATTGTAATATTTTTCCAGAGATGATATCTATCACGAATTTTATGTTAATATACGATTAAATCTTATTAAAAAAGAAAAAGAAAAAGTTCAAACTATTTTAGCTCTAAAAACAGTAATTTCAATCAATTAAGATCATTAGAAACTTTGAGCTTTAAAATATTTTTCGATTTATTTTGATACAATTTCTGAGATATAGTTCTAAAAAAAGGAATTTTTAATCATTTATTATCTTCATTTTTATTGCACTTGGATATTTTGTTTGCATTTCATCATTGACTCCTCCAAACAGATAAAACGTTTGGAGTCAGATCTGACTTTTTTTTGCCATTTCGAAACACACACGAATTTCTAAATATCTATGCACTTCATAAGCATATTTAAAATCTCTCTTACATTTTCTTAATTTCGAATTCTTATATTTCAACAAATGACTTTTCGAAATGAAAACAAAAAAAGATTTCAATGGTATGATTATTTTTGTTTTTTGAGTGAGTATTTATGTAGGAAACCATTGTTTTTATTACAAAAAAATGGACGAAACTATAAAGAATTAACTATTAAAATTCTTTAATCATAAATTTTCAAATTCTTCAATTTCCATTTCTTATATTTAAAATAATTTATCATATCTAAAAGAAAAGCATTTCATTACTTTGTATTCTTATTTTATTCTTTAACAATTGCAAATTTAACAACTCCAAAATTACCTTTTTTTTAATATTTTACATATTCGACGAATGATTCCATCATATCTTATTAATGATAAAAAAAATATATATATATACATTTCGTACATACCGCCCAATTGTAGTTCTGCAGAAGCCTGTGCAGTATCACCTTCCGACCGTCTGACGATACATTGATACATTCCACGATCTTCCCTGTTGATACCGTTCAGCTTCAATAATTCTGATTGTCTGCCTGTGCCTGGTAGCTGTCGACCATCTTTGTACCAGGTAATAAAATGTGGTCCAGCTTGTGGATGCGTGCTGACCTCGCATCTAAATTCGGCATTACCTCCTAAGTGGACGCTTAGCAGCGGAGGCGTCACTTCGACATGCAATGGAGCCGTTACGATGAGCCTGGAAAACATTTTTCTAGTTTCTGCACTTCTAATTACTTCTCTTCTAGGGGGAAAAATTGAAATTTAGTGAAAATCCTTTCAGAATTAATGGTACAATATATTACGAGTATAATGTTTAGGATAATTATATTTAAAGTCTTTTATTAATAGTATCTTAATGAGATTAATTAATAAAACATTAAAATTTCGTTATATTATAAAAGATTTTTGAACGAAATAAAAAAGAAATTTAAGAAATGATTCTAGAGACTATATTTAGATACTTATTTTTCAAACTATAAGCAATTTAGTTTGTACTAAAAACATTTTTGCGTATTAACATTTGTATTTTATTCTTTAGAATCATTCATTAAATTTTCTATTTTATTTGAATATCCATTAAGATTATTTTTTTTTACATGTTGAAATCGAAACTATTATGTGTATTAGTGCGTAATATTAGAAGGAAGATCTCTCTGAAAAGGGATTAGGAAAGTTCTTGAATATGGATAAATCATGAATTTAAGTATTTGAAGATTGTGAATTTTTTAATTAAATTGTTCTTTTTTATAAAAACTGAGAGACAATTGTCAACACATATTCGCAAACAATCTGCATATATTATTTGTAGATAGTCTATATATAATGGAAAATAAAATAAGAAGCAATACTTTTTGTAATAAATGAAGAAATGTACAAATACGACATATACATAAAATTAGAAGAAAATTATCTTTTCTTTCTATTTTTAAGTCAACTTTTTAAAAATTTCGAAATCATTTTCAAATATACTTATAAAATTTCTAAATTCAAAGCATTCAAGTTTAATTTTTTAAAAAAACTGCTTCCGTATCGATAAGCTTCGTTTCCACAATAATTTAACATTTTTTCGTTCTTTTTCCGTAAAATATAAAAACAAATATACTTTATAAATCGCAAAAATATCAATATCAAAGATATGATTAGAGATATTGTTTATAAAATAATACATCGTTCATGAATATTCGAACAATTACGTGAAATATATAGATTGTTTAATAGTAATGTTTCTTCTGAACGAGCTTTAAGTAGTTATTTAATTTATATACGAGTAATCAAATTTTGAATTTTGAGCCACACAAAACGTAAACTGATCAAATCCATTGACGCCAATAACTTAATTTCTGGAAAGAAAAAAATTTCATCTTACATCTCGATGCATTTAATGTAACAAATATCCAATGATGAAAAAAGTAAATCATTAGTTAGATTGTTCAGTTTTTTTTTTCCGAATGGCTCAACTATAAGTGATTTCTCATTTATATTAGTTACCGAATCTCCGCACTAGCTTCGCCACCAGGATTCGATGCGGAACAACGATAAATACCGTTATCCTCTAACGTGACAGCTTCGAGGGCCAAGACAGATCCGAGTAATCTGGTCCTTGGTCCAGAAAGTACCAGCATCGGCTCGGAACCGGTTTGTGCATACCATCTGAAAATCATCGATCGGATCGTAAATATTATATGGTTATGCGTAAAGAATATTTCACTCGTGTGTAATAATCCAAAAGGGATATTAAATTCGTTCGAGAAAGATTTAGAGGCTGTAAAACTTGAAAACACTTTCTGTTTATAGCTACGACTCGCCAAATTTATTTTGAATTATATTTTCGTTAATCGATTTTCCTTGTTAAATATTGTGAAATTTGAAGTAAAGTAAGTTTGTAAAATACGTATATTATTCACTCAATTATCTTTTCCTTGTGAAATCTTTCAATGATATATAGGATCATGAATTTGAGATCTTATTTAAGAAAAAAAAATGAATATTGATAATTATTAAATTTTAATAATTGAGGTTTAAAAATTGTGATTTGTCTTGATAAATAAAAAGGGAAAAAGTCGAAAAAACTTTTAATTTTTTTCCATCTACTTTTTGCTCGCCCAATTTTGAAACATTCTGCATCCATGTAACATCTCTAATTTACACACCACTTCAGACTATTCTCAAGCACCAATTAAAAATACCCATAAATTACGAAACCAACAAACAATCCCGAAAATTCAACTGCGATAAATTTCCTTCCGTAATCCTAATTAATTTAACGTCATTCCGCCCACTCGGCCAACATAATATATCATCCAATTGCATTAACCGAACCTGAAATTGAAATCTCTTTGCGATATAACGTACAATTGGCCAAACTCTATCCCCGTTCACGTTCCTCCGTTCAAAATTCCCCAAACTCGTCCAAAAATCCTTTGTTAGCTGACAAAATAGATTCTGGCACCGTTCCATACTCTTCTGTCGATTTTCCTTCGTGGGGGAAAAATTTTTTTCAAATATCGCGCGTCGATTTTTCGAGGTTAACACGGTTTGCATGCATTGCAAGTTAATGCTCCTCCGTTTTCCATTTGAAACTTGCCCCCCTCCCTTACGGCCAGGAATAATTTTTCATCGAAAGGCAAAGCGAATCAGGCAAAGGGATGGGTGGTGGAAGGGGATGAGCTTTAATTTCACTGGCTTTCGGGCACGACGACCTAGAAACATCGAGTCGCGAGCATTTATCCCACAGATTCCTCGCTTTCTTTCTCCAACTTCTTGACAGTTTTCGATCGAGACATGCTCAAACCGAATCTCTCAGAGATCTCTTCCTTTCCAAGAACTTTTTTTTAACCCTCTTCCCTTCCTTCTCTTCGATTTCTCTTGATTCCCTTCTTTTCTTCTTGGTTTATCCAAAAAACGAAGTTTTTCGTATCTTGGATCTCAAGGTATGTAACAATCTTGGTTTCCTTGGGGAATTTTAGTCCCTAGTCGCGGGGAAAGTTATCGAGGAGGATGAGAGGGTAAGAAGTTAGCGTTGAAACTCGTCGAGTAGATCAGTTTTTCGTTTCTTCTCCGGGTGTTAAGATAGCGCGAGTCGAAAACTTTTTTGTTGTGCTGTATTCGAATTACTTTCTCGAAGGACTTTCCCTTTTCGAAGAATGTAAATTGCATTGTGCGTGATCAGTTTTCAGATGGTAAATATGTACAACATTTCGATTTGTATACAACATACTGTGACTAAATTAGACTGGTAAATTGGAGTTTGTTTGTTGTGTGAAATTACGTGTTCCTAGTTTCGATTGATTACTTACGTCACGTTTCAGACAATTATAAACACAGAAACAATTTGTGGCAATTTGTAAAATGGATTGATCAAAATGACGAGCTGTAGTATGCGAACATTTTAAGAAATTTATTTACACAATGAATCGTGTAATCGTGATTTCTTCAAATATTATGTAAATTATATATATTATATGAAAAATTATTTTATGTAAAAGTTTGATGGTATATAGAGATATATTAATTTGATATTATTAGTTTAGAGATATGTGAAGATTAACTTTGTTTCTTTAAATGAAATTATGTATTTTTTAATACACTAATAATGTAATAAGTGATTATTAAGCCATTTATAGTAAAAAATTATATTTAAATTTAACGATAAAAGTTACCATATGAAAAGCAAATATTTTTCATAAATTTAGAAAGATTTAAGTTAAAATAAACTTAAACTTAATAATTTTCTGCTATAAATGAATAATTTAATCGATTAACATTGTATTGATTATTAAAAAATATAATTGTATTTAAAGAAACAAAATTGAGCTTTCTTTATCTATATACAATAAAAATAACATCAAATTATGTTTCTTTCTATATATAACTTTTATTGAAATAATTTTTTATATAACAAATAATTTATGAATTATTCGAAAAGATCATATTAAATGATTCATTTTGTATAGATACTCTTTTATATTTTATATTTAATACACTATAATTGGTATTAGTTTAAGTTTATTCTGAGAAAATTCTGAAAGAACACAAATTCAAAATTCTATTTGATAGAAAAACAACGAAAGAAAATTTTAAATGATACAAAAATATGGGTATTTATCTTGATTTTATAGAGAGTTTTTTTTTTTTTTCTATAACATATAACATAATATAAAGTTTGATTCGTATATATTCAATTATATTTATATTATGCATTGTATTTTACATTCAAATTATTAAATTACCATTGTAAAATAAAACAATGAATACTTATTATATATATAATATAATTCAAGTTACATTTTTTTACTCAACTTTTTAAAAAAATTTTATGTAAATTATAAACAAACTTTTCCCTTTTTTATTTATACATACAATATTTTCTAATTTTATTTTAATTATCTCCAAAATTTACGAGAGATAAAAATTGTATTATTTTTCTAAATGATCTTCCATCGACACTTTCGAAAAAATTTTTTTTTTCCTTAACAGCTAATTTTAAATAGCTAATTTTTAAAGAAACTTTCATTTTACGATTGTATAAGAACCACTTAAAACTTTTAACGCTGTCCAAATATTTTTTCATCTTCTCTTTCATTATGCTCTTTCATTATCATAAGAAATATACCCGTTCTTATCTTACTTTTCCTTAAAGTAAAACTTCGACCACAAATCTCACCATCGATCCCATTCATAAATTTACACTCGAGTCTAAATTACATGGCCACTACGATCCCTAGCTTAAGTTATTTCGTTCGAATGGATTAGTAGAAGCACGTTCAAGCATGTCTAAAAACATCTTGGCACTTGTATCGATATATCCCTCCAGATGTTTCTCTCGTATCTGCTTGTAGTCCTGTCGAGAAGAAAAAGATCCAGAAATTTCGAGATCCAGAAATTGAGAGAAAAAAATGTTAGAAACAAGATTCCTCGAAGACACGAAGAGTTTTCGATTGCTCACGAGGTTTTCTTCGAGTGTTTTTATTCCAAAATCTTATTTTTTTACTTATCTTCCACTTCGAATATTTCTTTGATTCTGACCCCCTTTTCATTCGTTCTTATTTCGATCTTCTTTTTGAGATGACTAAGAAACACATGTCACAATTTTTTGGGGATTTTTATGCTCTTTTTCGTGTTTCTTTCTTGTTATCTTTTTTGAGGACATAGGAGGATTTTCTTTTTAGGATCGAAAAAAAATATTATTTATAAATTTAGTTCATTTTTGTGTTTGTTGCATAGATAGTATCCATGTATATAACAATGTTTTATTGATTATTATTATACAATTAAATTATTAAATTATGTTAAATTATTCCTTTTCTATTATCATTGTTTAAGATGGAGAGTGATTTAAAGGAGATGATTCAGTTATGAAATTTTTATGATATTGTATAATACAATATGTTATGTATAAGTATAGATCCGAAAATTCTTGTTTTTTCAGGTTGAAAATTTTTTGTTTACTTCGAAACTTTATACGAATAACTGTATATTAGTGTTTTACTATTATAATATATATATATATATAATTATGAGAAGAGAAAATCGAGGCTAATAAACTAATTTTTAATTTTTAATAAATTATATAAGCAAAATATAATTATTATATATTATATATTTAATAAAATGATATCCGACTTGATTAAATAATTAAATATGATTTATAATATGTATGAATGTAATAATAATTGAATTATTTTAATATTTTTCTAATATTTTTCATATTAATCAATTAACCAGGTTAATTGTCGAGGTTGATTGTAGATATAATCTATAATCTTATTGCAATGTATCTATAATTGGAATACTTTAAGAAACAAATTTTAAAATATTTATTTAACATTTATATTAGTTCAACTAAATTGTAAAAACATAAAATCTTTATTATTTAAAAATGCAATTACGTGAGAAATAAATTGTTAAAATTCTTTTTATATATTGAAAATATTATTTGAAATCAAGGATTATTAATATAACTTTCAGAAATTTCTAGTTAATCGATTAATTTCGAATGAACATTTTTGAAATACTTTGTATACATTTTCGTGATAGCTCATTCAAGATAGTAATTTTATTAATGATTACTTAACGTACTTCTATATGCAATCAATCTGTCTCTTCTGTTAACAATATATAATATAATAAGTTCTTTTTGTGTGTAATTTCGCAAATTCAATTTATATCTCATTTGTCGATCTTCTAAAAGGTTAATTTGTGTCAAATTAAATTTGATTTTAAAAAACGGTTTGATTTTATTCTATTGTTATATGTTGTCAAATTAGTTTAATTCAAAAACAAGCTTTTAAAAAATACTATTTACTATTCTACGTTTTCATTTTATTTTTGTAATATAATTTTCTTTCTAATTATACCACTAGCACATCGCGTATAATTTAATTGGAAATCTCAAGAGAAGAGTTGAAATCACATTTTCTAATTTTCATAAGAAAATAACTTTAAAAATAGAGAATTACTTTCGTATATAGTTATATTCTTTATATTCTTTCTATTATATTATATTCTTTTTTAATTTTTTTATATATCAAAATATTTTATTTTATCTATTAACTATATGGTGCAGAAATTAACAATAATATCGAAAGTTTCTTGCGAATAATTAAAAAATTGTCTTGTATTTTGTTAGAAAAAAAAAAACAATATTTAATAATATTTCTAAATCATTGAAACTGATAATAAATAAAGAGATAACTTTTTAAGAAAAGATCCTATTTTTTAAATTTAATCTTAGAAGATTAAAAAAATCAATATTGCTCAATTTCGTTAAATTTTAATAAAATTTGCAAAATTTATTTAACCAATTCAATAATCAATTTTTTAAATAAAATTTTAATTCTTCTTCTTAAATTCATTTTAAAATCATATTTTTCTGCGACCATCTATTTTTATTCAATCATCTATTTGCAGATTAAAAATAAATTTCTATTGTAATCTTCCATTGAAACGACAATCGTATTGATAGCAAAAGTTATATTTCTCGATAAACATTCAATTTACAGGAGATTCGTGTTTCCGTTTCCGTCGCTTTCAACTTGTAACGATCCATGCCCCGCAATTATGCCATTAAATTTGTTTACAACGTTTGTAATAATAACATTAAATTTATTGACAAGTAAAGAGATATTGATTTTCAATTATGTATAATTATTCCCATGATTATTTAGACGTAAATTGAACGGTTTAATTTATATTTACCACCAAGTTAATCATTCATAAGATAAAAATATAGATATAGTTAACTTTAACGCGAGATTAATTTATATTTGAAATCGTAATTAAGTGAAATCTGGAATAAATTAGAGAAATATAAAATATCGGAAATATATAAAAAGAAAAACAAATGATGGAATAATCATGAGAATTGTTTATTAAATTATGTTACATGATAATTATATTATGAAAATATTGTATACTTTAATTTTTCTATTTTATCGTGCTCTCTCAAAACTGTTTCCACAGTACCGTATTATAATTATTATATATCGACTTTAATTTTTGATTAATTTGAATTTCTTGTTTGGAATTCCATTACAAGGTTTATGCATTGTTGATGTGCTAATGATTTTGCAATATAAAGCTTTTCAATATGAAATAATAAATATAATCCAAGAATTTAAAAAAAGTTTTTGTTGCTACAGAGAGTTCTTTTATTAAAAGTTTATCGAAATATATAATCGAAATAAATCTATAATAACATTATCATTATAAGTTAATAATATAACAAAAGGAAAATATTTCGATATAATAAATAAACAAGAATGATTTCAAATTTTTAATTAATATTGCATTTAGAAATTACATTTAGTTGATATTGGATTTAAAATACAAAATATTTGAAAATCTTTCTACAATGAGAGAAAGATGTATTCATATTTATCATCTTTAGAGAAATTGAAAAAAAATTTTTTTTAATTTTGCTTTAATCTTAAAAACACTAATTAAAATATTTTCATACAAAGAATTATTTCATCGATAAATTCCTACCAACTTTTGAATTTTAGATCTGCTTCTAATATTTTAAATAATAAAATAATTAAAATTAAATAATAAAAATTTTTTTGCACCAATAATTAAAAAACAAATTTTTCCTTTTGATACAAATTCCTCATTTAAAATATTAATTAATATTCAATAATTCAATAATTTTTAATTATTTAAAATAAAAAATGGGAAAAAGATAATTTAAAGCCTAAAATAATTAATCTTCTTGGATAAAAATACTCACCGATATTCGGGAGTAGGGCAAGCCTGCGCCACGCACACTAATGACGTTGATTCATCTTGAGCGACATGAACAACTCCAGAATTTTCAAGTATCACCGGTGGCATCACCCCTCTGTGATCTGCAAAAAAAAGTTGTCCGATTTTATTGGTCGATTAACGTGCGAGGGTAATTGGAAAAAATCTCGCCAATTCTCGGAATTGAGATGAGAAAAATTGGCCAAAGTGGAAATCATTACCTGCTATCCTTACGTTGGCCATGGAACTCATGACCACCTGCCTCGTGAGACGATGCATCGTTCGACACCTGTAACGGTGTATTTGATCGCTGAATTCCAAACTGTGGATCAGAAGTTCACCGGTTGGTAGAAGATGAAACTTGCCGTCTGGAATTCAAATAATGGAAAAAAATTTTATGATTGATTATTGGGACAATTTGACATTTTACATTATTCCATTCAAAACGTCTTTGGAAGGAATGATTATTTGGATATCAATATTTATTTATTATATTTATATCATATAATTTCATTATTCTATATTTGTCACATATCCTTGTATTGTATAATGAGTTAATAATATAATGTATATTCATAATTTTATACATCATTACAGCATTACATGGGATAATTTAATGAGAACATTAGTGAGGATTTAAAAGTTTTTAAATTATTCTAATTTTTTTTAATTCTTTTGTATTTAATAATTTATAAAGAATGAAATTTTTCTACGTTTATTATTATTATTTTTTTTTGGATAAATTATTACAAAATATAAAAGAAAAAATTTATTTTCATATTTGAAAAATTGATACATGAGAAATAATATATTAATTTTTTTCTATGAACAGCAGAGCAATGCAATACCTTTTATCTAAATTAGTTTTAGATATCGTGTCATTTCTTTGATACGGTAACGAAAAATCGACATATGATAGATCGAATCCATTATATATCCCTGACCTTTTTTTGATTGGCAAAAATGCGTCATGGCATATCACAAAGTAACGTTTCGTGTTCACAGTCTATATTGATATTCGATTATTTTTTGATCCGGACTTTCTAGGTTTTATCATTTTTTAATAAAAATTATAAACTAAATATATTTTGATTTCATAATAAACATTACTAATTTCTTTATTATAAAGTTCTTTTAAATTCTATTAATTCAAAATAAAAAAATTTTTAAATTATCTTAATTCATAATAAAAATGGTATATTGTAATCATTATCATATAAAAAAATGAAAGATTTTTTTCTTTATCGTTTGTTTTATATTTTTAAAGAAATAAACTCTTGAAAACTTTATTATTAATAAAACACATTATTTCATTATTACGAAATTTTATTAATATAATTCTTTTTCATCTCTAAGTTTTTATTGAGACTTTGACAATTCATTAGATTGAATAATTAAAAATTTTCTATCACAAATATTTGAAATCTTATTAAATGGAACTTTGAATCATTTTCTGAAATATATTTAATCATTTTATATCATTCTTTTATTAAATAAATGAAATGATCGTATTTAATCAAACAATTATCAATAAAAAAAAAGTCTCTTTCTATCAACTATATTGAATATCGCGATATTCAATATAAGATAATATTCGGCTCACGATTCACGTAGACACAATTCACATCGAGAAGCTTTCATCACTAGGGAATAGAAACAGCACATAAGGGTAGACTATGTTCCAATCGCGAAAACGACGAAGACTATCGCCCCCGGTATTAAACGCGATTATATCATCCTCTGGGCATAATAATATTTGTGAATGTGAATTATTTAAAAGATATAGCAATCGTTTATTTCGAAGAATATTAGAAAATAAAAAAAAACATTTTTGACAAAGTTAGTATAAATCATTAAATATTCAGGAAAAATTTAAAAAATTTAAAATTATTTGCATATTTTATAAAAATAAAGAATTATTTATATATTTTTTATAAAAGTTTATTTTAATTGTTATTCTTATTAATAAATAATATATTTTAAATAATTTAAAATGTTAAAAATTTTATTTTAATAATTACAGTTCCTTTTTATTTTTCTATTAAACGAATTTTATAATGTTTATTTTTTTCGTAAAGTTTTTCGATTCATTTTATTATAAGATATAGAAATAATTACAAAATTTTTAAAAATTGATATTTGAAAAAATTATTTTATTTAAAAAAAAAGTTATTTTAATTTAATAACATATAAATAAATTTATAATTACATTTGTAAATTAAATTCTAAGCTTCTTTTTTAGCTTATTATAAATTTAATTCAGTTTATGAATATTTCTGGAAATAATTATGCATCCTAATTCAGCGTTTCTTAAAATTCAACGAATCTAATATGATTCATAGATTATTAGAAATTTGCAGTTCTTACACATGTAATTGAAAAGAATATATAATATTTACCACTTCATTTGTTTTTAATAATTCTTTAAATTTGTCTTTCATAGTATATTTAAAATTTGTGCTATTATATAGTATTTTGAGATATTTAATGTGTTACATTCGCTTTGTTACTATTCCATATCATAAAAATATATATTATAAAATAGAATGGAAAAAATATTATATTGTTGAAATGCACTTTAGCCGCTTGACTAAATTATACACTCCGTGATTGGCCAATGTTTTTTGTTAATAATTCGTTAATAAGTTTTTGCAAAGGAAAATCACCTCAGGAATTAATCGATGTTCTAACATTTTTCGTATATTTTAAAGCATGTATTCTGGAATGGTATCTAAAATTGATTAATTTATATTTAATTATAAATTTGTCTTATAGATATATGTTGTTTACATATATGATAAATATATTTGAAAATTGTTTAATTTTCAATTATTATAGCGTATTCGTAGATTTTATTCCTTTTGAACTATTATTTCAAGAATTATTTATTCAAGTTGATTCGTTCTCGGATTATTTTGAAAAATGTTCTATTGTAAAATTCTCATAAATAGCATGAAATAGAATATATATTCATATAAACATTTTTCATTATTCTCAAATGTAAAATTAGCGCTTGAAATAAAATATTTTCTATTTATCACAGCACATTAAAATTAGCCATAGCACATAAAAATTTCTTTATTATTCATATTTGATGCATTAATTGGTTTCAACATTTTAATAAAAATTTTTAATAACAATCACATCATGGATGCGCACTATTTCTAACATTTTGTGACTTTTTCGTCGATAAGTAAGCGACCAGTTTTATCGTAACGATAATTATGCTAATTCCAGAATTTCTAGCGACCTATTCTGAATGACTGGCTGAAAGATACGATCTTGCCGTTCTTGCTCTGTGCGGCTTAAAGCTCGTGTTCGTTCCTTAGATAAGCTCGAGCAATGTTAATGAGGATAATTATCCTAAATATTTGCAGTCGTTTCGCGAAACTCGTGGTCACGGTTGGAAATCTTTAACATGGTTCACGAATGCATGATTATCTTACAGCGAAGAGATCGTTTCTAGTTTCATTTCAGTTTCTTTATTGCCCATTGTCTTTTTTTGTGTTTTCTTCTCTTTATTTCCCCCTGTTTATTGTACAATGTTTTGTGAAATAATTTTTTGGAAAAAGGTCATTCCAATAATTTATAAAATTTTAAGATTTTAGATAAATAAAAACTTTATGTAATCATTTTATATTATTTTCTATAAAAAATGAATCCAAATACAAGTTTTCTGCAACTTCTGATTCTTATAATATTTTTTTGTTATTTGTTTTTGTTGGTATATTGTATTTTTCTTCATTTTTTGATTATTTCTTTCGTTCAATATCATTTCTTTTTATATCTATTATATTTATGTAATTGTTATTATATATTTATAGTTTCTATTATTTAATTATTTTTGTTATTGTGATAATATTTACATTTTTTAACATTTTACTATTAAATATATTTCTGTTCTTTTTATTAATTTTTTGTTTGTACAATCTTGTATTTTTAAATTGTTTATTTTTCATCTTATCAATTTCTATTTTATTATTTGTAATTTTTTAAATTATTTTTAATCTTTTATGAGCTCTATTTTTTTATTATTTTTTATTTTTTCTATTCTCATTTCCTAACAAAATAAAGTTTTTTATTTTTCTTGTTTTTTTCGTTTCTCTTTCATTTTTATTTATATTTATACATATTATTTATCATATATTTTTCATTATAACAGTATTTTCCTAATTTTATTTTAACAACTATGTTTATAATGTTTTATATTCATTTTTGAATATCCAGGCAGAACATTCAACTTTTTTCTGATTTCAATAAATAAAAAATTTCTAATATTAAAAATTTTCGAATAAAATTGACATAAAGCTACACAGCATATTTTAACAATAATCCTTTCATATTTTTCTCTCCAATAAATCTTATCCTTTTTAACCCTTTCCTTGATTCTTCATCCTTTCTATGATATTACTCTCCTCCTCTCCGTCCGTCCTATTTCTCTTTCCGTATTATCATCCTTGCCCCAAATTTCTTCCAACATTTTCACGATCACCACTCTCACCCCTATTTCCCTCACGACTTTCTCTCCACCCTTTTCCATTTTCCCCTTACCTCCTTACCCCTTCAATGTTTTTCTTCCTTTCTCCCTTCTCGCTCTTACTTTTCTAAATCTACTTCTACTCTTTGCTTCGCTTCTGCTTCGTTCTAAATCTACCCAACATCCAAGACTCCGTATACGTTATTGCGTTTACGTGCTAAACCAAATTCGCCAGGAGACATTAGATCAGCTAAGACTGGCTGAGATAAGCGGCCTCCTAAATACCGATTGTCGGCCAAGTCAGCCGGCTTGGATAGGTTATGTAGTTTCGGTATCACACTCGATGCTGCTACCTATGCCCTGCCTGTTCGGATCCATTCAACGTGGATATACCGCATTATGTACACGGAGCCATATACGACCGATGCACATAGGAGAACCTATATATATATATATATACCACGGGGGGAACCGTTGGTGACTACCTCGAATTACGTGCAGTCTGACCATAGCGCTATTAGTAAGATGGATATGTTACGCTTACGGAAATATAGCGTTCACCGAAGGGGAACAAAGGCGTTGTAATATTATGTAGGCCGCAAGAAATATGAGACGCGCGTGTGAAATTTATATCGTGTACGAATGTATCGGTTCAAGGTTGATTATGTGAGTACAATTTGTAAATATATACGTGTATATGCGTTTTCATTAAAACGAAAAAAAAAAATGAGTTTGTATTCAATTGTTTTTGTTAGATTGTTCTAAATTATTTTCTTTTTGATCATATTTATGTAAATAGAGTAAATATATATATATCTATAGTATATTATGATAAATAAATGTGTGTATGTTGGTTACGTGTTTAATTATAAATATCTTTGAACTTGATGA